ACTGTTTTTTGTATATATGATTTTTTTCTGTTTTGTTTGTTTCATTGTTTTGTTTTAGATTCCACATACAAATAATCATATAACATTTGACTTTCTCTGTCTGACTTATTTTACGCAGCACAGTACTCTCTAGTTCAGTGGTGGCGAACCTTTTGAGCTCAGCGTGTCAGCATTTTGAAAAACCCTAACTTAACTCTGGTGCCGTGTCACATATAGAAATTTTTTGATATTTGCAACCATAGTAAAACAAAGATTTATATTTTGATATTTATTTTATATATTTAAATGCCATTTAACAAAGAAAAACCAACCAAAAAAATGAGTTCGCGTGTCACCTCTGACACGCGTGTCATAGGTTCACCATCACTGCTCTAGTTCCATCTTTGTCGTTGCAGTTGGCAAGATTTCATTCTTTTTTTATGGCTGAGTAATAGTTTATTATAAATAGCTAGTACATCTTCATTATCCATTCATCTATTGATGGACACCTAGGTTGCTTCCATATACTGGCCATTGTAAATCATGCTGCAATGAACATATGGATGCATATGTTTTTTTGAATTCTATTTTGTTTTTGTTTTTTTTTTTTCAGATAAATGCCCAGATATGGAATTACTGGGTCCTTCTTTGTTTCTTATTTTAAAGTCTATTTTTTCTGGTATAAGTATTGCTACTCCAGCTTCCCCCCCGCCCTCCATTTTCATGAAATATCTTTACTTTCAGTCTATGTATGTTTTTAAATCTGAAGTGAGTCTCTTGTATACAGCATATGTAAGGTCTTGTTTTCTTATCCATTCAGTCACTCTGTCTTTTAATTGGAGCATTTAATTAATTTACATTTGAAGTAATTATTGAGAGATATGGAATTATTGCCATTTTATTGTTCATATTTTTGATATTTTCTTCTTTTAAAGAAGTCCCTTTAACATTTCTTGTAAAACTGTTTTGATGTTCATTTGTTCATTAAGTTCTTTAGCTTTATCTTGTCTAAAGATAGCCTTGATGGGTAGAGTAATCTTGGTGTAGGTTCTTGCTCTTCATCACTTTGAATATTTCCTGCCAGTCCCTTCTGGTCTGCAAAGTTTCTGTTGAGAAACTTAGTGTGGCCTTATTGGATTCATCAAATTTAGAACTCTGTACTTCCTGGGCTTGTCTATTTCCTGAGCCAGGGAAATTTTCTGTCATTTCTTCAAATAGGTTTTCTTTCTTTCTGTTTTTTTTTTAAATTAAATATATTGGGGTAACATCCTAATATATAAAAAGCCAGGGGCTGTCACAACCGAAAAAACCAGACAGATGATCAAACACAGGCTGCGTGGGGTGACCAGGCCGGCAGGGGGGTTAGTGAGGGACGACCAAACAACTGAACAGCAGGCTGAGTGGGGTGACCAGGCCAGCAGGGAGGGCAGTTGGGGGTGACCAGACCAGCAGGGGGGCAGTTGGGGGCGACCAGGCCGGTGGGGGGGTGGGTAGTTGGAGGCGACCAGGCTGATATGGCGGGCAGTTAGGGGTGATCAGGCAGGCAGGCAGTTAGGAGCCAGCAGTCCCAGATTGTGAGAGGGATGTCCGACCGCCGGTTTAAGCCCAATCCCAGGGATCGGGCCTAAACCCGCGGTCGGACATCCTCTGAGGGGTCCTGGATTGGAGAGGGTGCAGGCTGGACTTAGAGGACCCCCCCTTGCACAAATTTTGTGCACCAGGCCTCTAGTTGATAAATAAAATCATATAGATTTCAAGTGTACATTTCTGTGATACATGATCTGTATATTGCATCATGTGCTCACCACTTACAGTCAAATCAGTTTTGGGGTTTTTTGTTGTTGTTAATCTCACCTGAGGATATTTTCCCATTGATTTTTAGAGAGAGTGGAAGTGAGGGGAGAGACACAGAGAGAGAAACATCAATGTGAGAGAGACACATTGATTGGTTGCCTCCCACATACGCCCAACCAGGGATCGAGCCCACAACCTAGGTATGTGCCCTGACCAGAATCGAACCTGCAACCATTTGGTGTGTACGGGATGACGCTCCAATCAACTGAGTCACCTGGCCTGGGCTATCCTTATTGGGATTCTTTTTTCTTTTTGCTGTTCTGATTGGGTGTTTTCTACTACCTTGTTTCCAAATTGTTGACTCAGCCTTCTGCTGCATCTGCTCTACTGTTGATTTCCTCTAATGCAGCGGTTCTCAACCTGTGGGTCGCAACCCCTTTGGCGGTCGAACGACCCTTTCACAGGTGTCACCTAACACCACCCTGCATATCAGATATTTACATTTCAATTCATAACAGTAGCAACATTACAGTTATGAAGTAGCAGTGAAAATAATTTTATGGTTGGGTCACAACAGGAGGAACTGTATTTAAAGGGCCAGAAGGTTGAGATCCACTGTTCTAATGTATTCTTGGTTTCAGTTATTATGGTTTACATTTCTGACTACTTTTTAAAAATGTTTTCTATCTCTATTTTTATAGTTCCTATGTTGCTGTTGAGGCTCTCACTGAGTTCATTGAGCATCCTTATAACCAGTGTTTTGAAATCTGCACCTAGTAGATTGCTAGTCTACATTTTGTTGAGTTCTTTTTCTGGAGTTTTTTCTGTTCTTTCATTTGGGACATGTTTTCCCCCCTATTTTGTCTTCTTCCTGTGTTTGTGTCTATGTATTAGGTAGAGCTGCTTCATTTCTCAGTCTTGGTAGAATGGCCTTATGTAGTGGGTATCATGTGGGGCCCCGGGCTGGTCTCTCTGGTCACTTGAACTGGGTGCTCCAGGACTGTCCCTTGTGTGGGTGCCTCCTGTTGTAGTTGAGCCTTGATTGCTGCTGGCACATCAGTAGCAGGGATTGGCCCGCAGGCTGGTTGGACGGCTGTGACTCCACTGGAGGACTCGTTGAGCAGGGGCTGACCCTATGCAGCAGGATTCGCGTTAGTGGGCTCTGGTGAGTGCCCAGTTTGCCCTTGGAATGTGTCATCTGTGGGGGTGGTTGAATGGTGCTCTGGTGTAGTCTGAAGCTGACCACCAAGGTGTTGTTTCTTGGGCCTTTTGGAGGTGCAGGACAAGGTCAGCTGCTGCCTGTCCCCTGCCCAGGGCTACTTAATATGAGCTACAAGTGATCTGCAGCCCTAGCTGGTTTGGCTCAATGGATAAAGCATCAGCCTGTGGACTGAAGGGTCCAGGTTCAATTCCGGTCAAGGGCACATGCTAGGGTTGCGGGCTCAATCCCCAGTAAGGGGTATGCAGGAGGCAGCCAATCAATGATTCTCCCTCATTATTGATGTTTCTATCTCTTTCGCCCTTCTTCTCTGAAATCAATGAAAAAAACACAAAGCCACAAAGTGATCTGCAGATGGTTGCCACTTGTGCTGAGCTCAGAGGTGCCTGGGAGAAGCTAAGCTGCAAACTGAGGCCAGCTGGTGCTAGTACTAGGCTTAGAGTCACTTAGCAAGAGGTATGGGACACTTTAAGGCCAGCTACTGCTATTTTGGTGTTTATGAAACTGAGAGATTTTAGGAAAGTCTGCAGCATGAACCAAAACAGGCCATTTGTATGGAAAAGCCACTGGAAGGGGCTTGGGTGGGCCTGCAGGATGGGTAGGGCAGGGTCTCAGGGAATCACCAGGACTGGGAAAACTGTGTTAGCCAGGACTACGGAGCCTCAGATATGGTGCCTGCCTTCACCTACAGCAGTGGTTCTCAACCTTCTGGCCCTTTAAATACAGTTCCTCATGTTGTGACCCAACCATAACATTATTTTCGTTGCTACTTCATAACTGTAATGTTGCTACTGTTATGAATCGTCATGTAAATATCTGATATGCAGGATGGTCTTAGGCGACCCCTGTGAAAGGGTCGTTCGACCGCCAAAGGGGTCGCAACCCACAGGTTGAGAACCACTGACCTACAGGATGAATTCGGGGGTCGGGGGGAGGGCATGGGAGGGGCCGGGGGTGGGGGGGCTCAGCAAAGGAACAATGACCTCTGCCAGCACTTCTGTCTGGGAGAAGGCTGCCCTTTCAGTTAGTTCTCGCCCTGAAGCCAGACAGACAATTCAGTTCTTCCCTGTTGTCTCTGGTTCCTTCCAAGCTGCTGCCCCAGCGCTGAGCTCAGTGAGTCTGAGTAAGTCCATGTGTGGGCCCTTTAAGAGGAACTACCTGGAACCTCAGCAGCCTCTGTCTTAGCTACAATCCCCACTGGTTTCCACAGCCAGAAATTATGGGGACTTCACTTCCCAGCACTGGAAACCTGGGCTGGGGAGCCCAGTGTGGGGCTGGGACCCTTGCTTCTCAGGGGGGCCTCTGCAGCTGAGATAGCTCCCCAGCTTTTTTACCAGCAGGTCTGTGTCTCTGCCCCTCTTACCAGTTTCAAAGTGGCTTCTTCGTTATATCCTTGGTTATAGGATTTCTGTGCAGCTAGATTTCAGAGGTTCTCAGCGGTGGTTGTTTGGTAGTGTAGTTGTAATTTTGATGTGGTCATGGGAGGAGGTTTACCTATTCTGTTATCTTGATCAGAGGCTGACATACACAAATCTTATAACCCAGCAACGTGGCTCCTAGGTACATCCCCCATAGAAACACAGACACATGTCCACCTGTACATGAATGTTCACAGCAACATTATTCATAATTGCTAAAAACTGGAAATATCCCAAATATCCATCAGCAGTAGACTAGATCGATGAACACAGTGAGTACTGCACAACATTGCATGAAAGCCTCCAGGGACCCAACAGCCTGGGCAATGCTGACCAACATGGGCTTGCGATGTGAAGCGGGCTTGGGATAAACAGCGAAGTGGGCAAACAGCGGCACCCAGAGCGGCGGCCTGCGTCCAGGCGCCTCCGATTCAGAAGCGAAAGGGGTTTGCGGGTGGCAGCGCGAGGTGGCACTGCTGCCGGCGCAGCCTGGCCCCGAGGAGCCGCACAGCCACTGTTCTAGATGGAAAGAGACTCAGGAGGATAACCAAGTGCTATGTGTGGCTTGAAATTAATTAGCTCTGACCTACCTGCTAGCACCAGTGAGCAAAGACGGTGCCATGCAGTCCCTCACGGAGGCCCTCCTCACTCCTGACGTTGAGGGGTGAATGTCATGACACCTGCAGCTTACTCATAGAACAAATATGCAGGTGTTTGCTGTATCCTTCTTTCAACTTTCTGTGGATTTAAAAATGTTCAGGAGAAAAATTAAGAAAATGAGTCTCTAAACATCCATATAATTAAAAAGTAAAACTAAGTTGTTTTTGTTTTGTTTTTTAAAAAAATTGATTTAAAAACAATAGGGGCCATAACACTTTATGGTCGAAATATTTCAAAGGCAAATTGTATGGCTTAATTCTACTTTCCGGTCAGTTGCTGAAGAGAAGTGCGGGTAAGGGGGTACAGAGCGGCACCGTCAGGGGAGTGACCAGACAGCGGTGCGGACAGCGGGCCGGACCCGCACGCACAGCCCCAGGAGGAGACAGTGGCCTCTGGAACCGCATGCAGGTGCTGCCGGACAGAGGCGGGAGCTCAGGCCTGGCCCTCACTAGCTGCAGGGGCCCGGGCAAGCGTTTTCCGTTTAATTTCCTCAGGTTACTTTATCAAACATTAGAGGCTTAACACGGAACAATTCACGAATTGCAGGCAGATGTGTGTTAAATTTTTAGCAAAGTATCTGGCATAGTAAGTGCATCAAGGTTGGTGCTATTCTGATCACAACCATATTTTACACCATTAGGCAGGAATGGGCATTCTGGAGTTACAGCCCCACACACGAGGGCAGGGGGCCACCTGAGAGCGACGGCCGCTAGTGGGAGGGGCACCTGGGGCCATCAGAACCGGCAGCCTGGGACCAAACCAGCAGCCTGGCCCCCAAATGCAGACCCGGTGGCCCTCACGCTGTCACTGTTACTGTATGTCCTTGGGGAATTTATTTCATCTTCCCAAGTCTGTTTTCTGAACAAATGGCAAATGCACAGAATAAATGGTAGCAATTTTTATTAAAATCTGAATGGATATATTTAAAACATTTTCATGATGTTTTATTATTTTAATAAAGACTTACTGAACTGAGTTATACAGGAATTCTTACCTTCATATGGAAATGACAAGGGTGTTTTGTTTTCGGGGAAGGCCTAGGTCAGGCGGATGACCTCTGTCACAGAAAGTGTAATTTGAAACAATAGCTGCCCAGCTCTCCGCTGGGTTTCAGGCAGGAAAGCTGCTGAGAAGACAGCGAGTGCATCCGCCTGCCGCCTCATCCTTGACACTTGGAAAGTTCAGAAAAGTGCAGAGGCTAAGAAACCCATCACCTACGTTGAATACTTGCTAACTGTGTCAGTCAGGAAAGTCTGGGTTATACTTTAGTGACAAGCAATCTTAGTGGCTTTTAAAGCAACACAATTTACTACTAAGGGTTCAGCATAGGTTGGTGGGAGGTTGGGGCTGTACTTCTAGGCAAAGCCAGAGGAGCTGGCACCAGGGTGGTGGAGCTGGGGCTGCTGTGGGCCAGCAGCAATGCCTGGCAGAGATCCAGCCGAAGCAGCCACTGCCCGCCTCTGGGAGGGGACCTGCAGGGCCGACCCCCATCTCCAGGCGCTGCCTGCAATGCCCACAGGAGCATAGAGTCCAGCAGAACAGCTTCTGCAAACCCTGGCAGTACTGTCATGGCCTGCCGCTCATCACACAATGAACTTATCAGATCGGACTTAAATAAATAAAGACCTTAATCAAATCTAAAAACATAATGAATTGTGTAGGGAAGGAAACCCTGCTCCCAGCCAATCCATCACTAGCTTTGTCTTTGCAGGAATGTCTAATAACGGAGTCAGCCAGGCCTCGCTCTCCCCGCCGCCTCGGGGGCGACTCCAGCTGCGCGCTCCTGGGCGTTGCTGAGCAGAACTCAGTGACTGGCACGCGGTTGTTTCCATTCCGGGGCTATTAAAGGTAAAACTGTGCAAGTCTTTGTGAAAAGAACGTTTTTAATTTTTAGGGTCATAAGGGCAGCGCATGTTTAACTCTGAGAAATTGCCCCCTTCCGCACCCCAGCGTTTGAGGGTCTAGTTTCTTGTGTCCTCACCAGCACTGGGTGTGTCTGCTCACTCATTCCGGTAGGTGTGCTCTCTCTTTCTTGGGAAATTCTGTGGATTAGTTAATCATAAACAAAAAGCATAACCTCTGTCACCTCTTACATACCTGGAAGGAAAAATATGGAAAGTGGCTGCTGAGGGGAAAAATGCAAACACCCGGCGGAGTAAGGTTCCCACACAGCAGCAGGGGTCGCTGCCAGATGTTCTAAAGGAGGAATAATAACAATGGCTCTCCCTCTAACAGGAGGACCGCACACAGCCAGCGGCACACTCCAGCGTTGGGGTACATAGAACCTCCCAGGCTGAGTCTAATAGACACCAGTTTCACACACACACACACACACACACCCTGACAGTGTACACACACACGCACCCACACCCTGACAGTGTACACACACCCTGACAGTGTACACACACACGCACCCACACCCTGACAGTGTACACACACCCTGACAGTGTACACACACACGCACACACACACCCTGACAGTGTACACACACATGCACACACACCCTGACAGTGTACACACACATACACACACACACCCTGACAGTGTTCACATACACACACACCCCATGACAGTGTACACACACACACACACACGCACACACACGCGCACACCCTGACAGTGTACACACACATGCACACACCCTGACAGTGTACACACACATACACACACCCCCTGACAGTGTACACACACGCGCGCACACACCCTGACAGTGTACACACACGCACACACACCCTGACAGTGTACACATGGACATTTCAACAAACGGAGGCAATATCTGGACACTAGGCAGAATCAGTGCAGACTCAGGGGCCCGCTCTCTACTCCCATAACATGAAGAGCCACCCCACGTGGCCGGCCGGGCCGACCTGGGAACAGCTGCCAGGTCCCTGAAGGGGCCTCTGTCAAGCTTGGGGGTGGGGGGGCGTGGAGGGGAAGCCGTGGGCCTCCGGGCCTGGCTTACTGATGAAGTCCTGTGCTGTTTGCTGCACAGATTTAGAAAGCGCCAGAGGACAAAAACAGAACCGACCGGCGATTGCCTGGAAGCCCCTCCCTCTCCTGCCTCTACAAGACCAGCAGCGGAGGCGGGAAGGCACTGAGGCTGCTCAGTTACAAGCTATGTCGAAGACATCATCGACAATATGTGCTGATTCCACAATTCCACGAGCTATACCTACGTGGACTGCGAATTGGCAGACTATAAACTGAGAAGCTGATGGCAATAAGGTAGAGAAATGTAGCTAAACTTCCCATTTCCAAACAATGGTAGGATATGGCCCAATTCACACCTTAAAGAAAATATTGGAGCCAGAGAACAGGAAGTAATGGGCAAAGTAACTCAGAAAGTAAGTGCACTAATCAGACAAGGAAACATTATCTCATAGAAATAGCAAATTGGGTTCCAGAACCTTAGGACACTCTGGACAAAGTCTTTGATGACAAGGGCCGAGCAAGGGCACATGCCTTTAAGCGCTGAGGCCATTTTAACAGGATCTGCTGAAGGAAGCCTGTCAGCTGTCAAGGGAGAAATGAGTGATGGAGGAGAGGGACTGAGCCAGACACGGCAGATGCACAGAGTAAGGGAGGCCTGTCTGCGCGCTGTGGCTGCACACGCGGGGTTAGCACTCGCTGTGCCCGGTGCGCAGTGCCCGGGCCTCTCTCCAGTAACGCCTGCTCACGCAAGGACGTCACAGAGTCACACTGGACAGCCCGACCCAAGGGCAGGCGGGCGGGGTGTGGTGGTGCACCTGGAGGGGGCTCCTGCCCCCTTCTTCTCCAAGCGGGGCGAGGGCAGGGAGTTCCTCGGACTCACCTGGCCTACACAGATGTAAGAAACACCAATTTAAGACAGCGAGGACCGAAAAAAACAAAACAAAACTAGGCCCTACTCTCCCAAAAGACCCGTGGCAATAACTAACCAGCTCCGGAACTAGAGGAACCAAAATGCCAGGGAAAAGCTTTACAAAGTCAATGCTATTACATGTAAGTGAATACGCTCTAAAACATGGTTGGTACATGCAGAGTTTAAAACTGTATTAAAAGTGGCATGAGTAATATTCCTATTTTACATTTATCCTTGTACAACTTATATTAGTTTGACAATTCTGGGTTCAAAAATAGATATATGTACCTTTTATCTAACCTCATCATTTTAAACTTTCCATATTTCCTCTGTTGGGTTTGTGGGTCAGATAAATCATCATTCTTTTTTTAAAACAGTTTTTATTTTATTTTTATTTTTTTACTAGAGGCTCAGCACACAATTAAATCATGCTCGTGTAGAGTTCCCTGGGCCTAGCCTGCCATCAGGGCCATGTCCGCTGCCCCACAACGTCTTGCACACTCCGCGGACGCTGCTGGCACCCCTCGATGCTTCACTGATGCTGCCGAGCCCCGCGACTCTCCACCGACGCTGTTGGCACCCGGGGGGGGGTAGGTGCGTAAAGTTTGGGGGTAGGGGGGTACGGGTGGAGGGTGGGGGGGGGGTAGGGAGGATGAGGGTGGCGGGAGGGCCCGAGAGGTGCTCCATGCACCTCCTGGTGACCGGTCGTTTGGTCATTATGGTGTTACAGCCACTGGCCTTTTATAATATAGATTGTTAATCCTCACCCGAGGATATTTTTTACATGGATTTTTAGAGAAAGTAGAAGGGAGGGGGAGAGACACAAAAAGAGAAACCTTGATGTGACCGAGAGGCACATCAATTAGTTGCTTCTCGCCTGCTCCTGACCTGGGCCGGGGATGGAGCCCTCAACTGGGTTATGTGCCCTTAACCAGAATCAAACCTGCGACCCTTCATCCTGTGGGCTGATGCTCTAACCATTGAGCAATTGGCTAGGGCAAATTATCATTCTTTACACAAAATATTTTAAGGCACAAAAATATATACATATACAGTATATTTAACTAATTAAAGAATAACTGCTGTTTTCTACAAGTGCAAAAAATGGGGGGAGCCTCTAAAATGGTACCAGACACAAAATAGACTTCTTAAGGGACAAAATTAGGGTTTCCAGGATTCGTTGTAGCTAGAAAAAGCTGACTCCATTGACATGTGCCGTGTGCTTTGTAGGTAATTCTAATGTTCCACTAGGGCTGAGAACCATCACTACCTGTGAGCTGCCCGTTAATTTCACAAACTCCCCCGATACGTGACAGGGGAAACGAGCGATAATATTAATGGCGTCAGTGGAGTTCTGCTTTCCTGCAGCTCCAGGGGGCCTGTGCCTGGCCGGGAGCCGGGCTGGGCTCTGCGGGCATGCGCGATGGCCAGCTCTGGTGGTTGGGTTGATGCATTTTCTAGCAACAAAGGTCTCACAGAACTTTCTGAGCAGCTCAACCTGATCGCAGAAGGTCACATTATTAAATTAACACCAAATTCCTTTCGGAAGAACTCACTGGTCATAGAATTTAAGTTTGTCAGACATGCTTATAGGTATTAAAATAAGTGATATTAAAATTAAAAATTAAATTCCTAGTAATCTTTTAACAGGAAAATACCTTAAAATGGGAAGTTCGCCTACGCTGGTGGCTTTCAGTTTATTTAGACGAGACCCACAGGATTCCTTTAACATTGAATGTTGTTCTTGGACCCCATTGAAAAATGCAGCGTTCAAGCAAATATAACTAAAGAAGGACACTCCAATGATTTGTTTGAGAATTACTACAATACGAACACATTTACACCACCTACTCTGCAATTCTAATTTAAGAGCCAAATGTTGGGCCTGGAGATACTTCTAAAATTAAGTAATAATGGGGGCAGGGATTGGTCCTAGTTCTGAGTGATTTCCTGGTAAAGATACAGACCTAGTTTTTATTTGTTCAACAAGAAGAACACATATTTTTGAGCATCTAATTAGTGTCAGGCATTGTAGCCGACCGTTGGATTCCATGGCAGCGAGATGTACACGCGCTGTTCTCCTGGACCCCACAGCCCGGCAGTGACTGGTGTGGGTCCGAGAACACACACGGCAGCCACAGGCGTTGTCAGCGTCGTCATCGAGGCACCGGCCCGGGCACTGCTCCATCCCGTCTCCCCTAATGAACGTCTGCGCGGCAGCGCCCCAGTGCTGTGCTGGTAAAGACACGTGTTCCAAAAGTAAAAATTGTAAAATACATGTTCTGACATGAAGTCAGCTTTCTCTTTGGGGCTGAAAATGCCT